TTTTTTTTTTAACATTTTAAGTTCAAAATTTGATAAAATACGTACACATAACGAAAAATATGTAGAAATTATTTTGAGAATTTCATAAATTTTTTTCTTTTTAAAACTAAGATTGAAAGATTGAATAGGTTCCTCATAAGTCTATGTTTATATACTTTTATAAAAAAAATATCTACCGAAAAATTAAATTAAATTTTTATGAGCGTTCGAAGTTAAAATTATCAGAGCATTTGATATTTACTCGATTTCTCAAGTAGCGATTTTTTTATATTGTTGTAATTCAAAAACGAATATCTGTGGATACTTGAAATTTACACCATATTATATTAATTTTATCAATTCCTATACTCGATTACAATTTCAAAATATGTTGACTGTTTTCAAGTTGTATACGGACATTTTCAATTTTCAATTTATTTAGGTTTTATTCTATAAATGTCAATAACATTTTATATTTTGGGTCAAAAAGGGTGAACAATTTATTAATACAAGGTTCCTGATATGTTGTTAGAATAGTAGTTAAAAAATATTTAAAATCCATAGATGTGATAATATTTATCAAATTAAAAATTAAAAAATAAATTTGTTGTTATAAAAATTCATAAAACGTTCAAATTTCATAACGAAGGATTGAAAATTTAAAACAAGGTTCACGTAAGTAGGTTATTCTGTAACCAAAAAACGTCAAAAATATTAAAACATAGTTTTTTTTATAGTTATTTTTTATTAAAATTACAATATAGTAAATATCTAAGAATAACGATTTTAGTTATTTTGTTGTAATTTTATAATATTAATTAAACTTATAGGCTACCTTATTCAAAATCAGTAATAACAATATAAATATAATGTAAAATATCCACTCTGTTTTCTGACAAATCACCTCCACAAAGAATCGTTTTTCATAATTATACAATGATATTATATCATTCAATCCAAATGTTATACAGTGATCCACTTGTACCCTACTGTACAGCAGAGGGACATCCAGTTACCCACCTTTTTAAATTTGGGACCTATGGGCTATGGTTATTTACAATAAATAAAATATATTATAATATTATTATCTCAAAAAATTAATTAATTGTGGGAAATGTAAGTTTTCATATCACACGACTGTAAATAGAAGCTATATAGATGTCGTACATCTACGTTATAGTGCTTCCAGCGGACATTGTATAGTACTAGTGAGGGGACATAATAATATTTTGATTATTATGTTACTGTATTAGGTACGTAGTACGTTATACTTTAAATTTTTTTTATAGTTAACTACCTATTTATAGTACCTATGTATCTAACATTATTTAGTTGGTACTCGGTACCATTTTTGTTATTTCACATTAAGCATTTTGTGCTTCTCTGAAAATAAGAAGAATAAGAACAAGTTAAACAAAATATGTTGCATGTCGGATGTAGTTTTTTTTATTATTACGTTTTAAAATAATTTTAAGTTTTAATAATAAATTGTGTTGTTACTTTTTTACTATTCGAATGATTGTAACATAATATATTATCTATTATTGATGATCGGTGACTTTTAACTAGTGTGTTAGTAAAATATATTATCTAAGTTTAAATACCTATTCTGTTTTGCATATTTTTTTACTAGTTTTAAGTTTTTTCACAGTTTGCAACATAATGTAAGTAGGTACATTTATATTTTTGTCGAAGTTTACATAATGTACATTTCTAATTTTGTTGCTATTTACATACAGCCAAAATATACGTAACCTTAACTGAACGGTAAAATTTATCTGAAATTTGATTTAAACTATGCATACACTTGTGTAATAATATTTGGTAAGAAACGATTGGGAAAATCGAAAATAAAATCTTGTGTAGTTTAGGTACTGTAGCTATATAGGTATGTATCTATACTGTAGTCTGTAATAATATAATCCTAGCAATATAATATTATAATACGCAGGGACTAGCACAGTTAATGAACATATCACACAATATTAGCATGTTTAAATGCTTCTTGTATTTATAAAATTATTTTAAATTTAACATTAAAGCCTTACAAGGACCGTAAAATTTGTAGGTATCCACAGTTAGGACAAAATAAACAAATCAAGTGAACAAAATTTTTGAAATGTGTATTATTTATGACATAACCTCTTAACTATCATATCATATCATTGTGCACGATCGTCACTTCTGGGTATTACAGTGCAAAGAAGGAGAAATGAAACAGATCCTAGACGAAGTGGTGAAGTCCAACGTGCTCCAGATTCAGTCGCTAAACGTCAACGCCTGTTGCATAACCTGTCCGGTGGACCCCAAAGGTACCCTGGGTGTTCGGATGCCGTACCTGACGTTGTTGCTGAGAAATCTCGGTCAATATTTTACATTTGAAATCACGGTACGTAATCGATAATATAATATTATTGGGATTATTAGTGCTATATACTTATGTGCAGCGGATCGAAGATGAATACTCAGGTGTAATAATTCGTAAACCCGATTGTAAATTACGAATCGTATTTATTATTGTTGCTGGTTCTTCATGAAAACTATTCTAAAATTGATTATTGTTATTCTGACTGTCGTGAAGGTGATTGTCCAACCTCGGGTATGACACGTCTGAATACAGTCCGTTTCGGGGGCTACTTTATACTTCCAACCACGCTCCCCCTGATAATCCCTGAGATTATCTATATACTCCTACGGATGCTGTGTCTGTCCAGAATCTTTTCGGAAATGCTAACGTCCTACGCATGGTCCATGCAACTGCATTTTCGGTTATTGGTTGTGGTGTTGGGGACCTATCGATTCTGCCTGTATCTACTCCGCCAGTTCAGACATTCTAAAAACAACCCACAACACCCACCAATTGTGACCCCAACCTGGTACAGCTGTCGACCTTATTCTGTTATAATAATAATAATAATAATATATCTAAAAAATAATTCAACAATTCATTTAAATATTAAAAATAAATTAATAATCAATATAATAATACAACAGTTAAATAAATAAAATAAATACAAAACAATATTATATATTATACAAAATAAAACAAATTAAATTTGTTAAAATGTTTTATCATGTATATACATTATCTACATAAACGATGTCGTCAAATGTCAAAAGTTTTACAATATTATTATTTATTTGTATACAATATACATAGACAAATATAGTTTAAAGTTGTTCAATATTATTTTTTTATAATTTGATGATGACAATCTAATAAAAAGTAAACGATTAATTTGTTTAGCTTCATAATCTATTAATAAATCTACGATTTTTTTTTTTATATAATTATATTTTGTGTTCTTACTAAATTTTTTCATTAGATAACATTTTTATACAGGTATTTTATAAAATATTTATAAAATAGCTATGTAAGTAAAATAAAACTATAATTTTTATTTGGAAGTGACACTGTAGACTAGGTGTTAAGGGAGGATGAGGTAACACTTTAAATGACAGAACACCATTTTAGTAGTTCACTGTACTTTTATTGATATAACGGTATAGTACTCAGTTACACTGTTGAAACAAGCAGCCGGAAGAGCCGACAGAATATTATTTTTTCCCTGGCGGAATCGATGGTGGCAGAATCGATATACCTTATCCCCTAGTAAAAAAATGTCTGGTGGAATATTTTTAAAACACAGATAGGTAATGTTCTTACCATCAAGTTTCAGAATAGGACGATTTGCTGTAATATGTAATCTAACGGCATAAGACTTGAACTTCTGAGCGCAAATTTGGTATGTTACGCGTTTGTAAGACGGAGACAACACATGCAGGGGTGGCGTCATCTTAACGAAACATGACCATTTGGTTATTCGTATATTTTAGTTGCATTCATATTATATCAGGTTTCTGGTTTTATACGGCCTACCCATAGGGCCGCCACCGGTATCCCGCTCGTACACCCCTGCCATAGTAGAGCCTCCTCCACCCCGCGGGCACACCTACCCTTGTGCTAACTGCTTCTACCCCGCGAGCACCTCTAGGCACACACACCACATACACATAAATACTAAACGCAGTACGCACTCACTTTATTACATAAACATACAACAGCACACATCCAGCCACATATTCCCTATAAGATCCACTACCTGCGAGACATATATTTACTATTACAACCAGCTGCTGCTACCCCGCGCGTACGCCACTACCATGGTACAGCTGCCTCCACCCCGCGGGCACACCTACCCTTGTGCTAGCCGCCTCTACCCCGCGAGCACATCTACCGAAGGGCACAAACACCACACACACATAAATACTAAACGCAGTACGCACTCACTTTATTACATATACATACAACAGCACATCCCTAAAAAAACTACTTGCAAGACATATATTTACTCTTACAACCAGCTGCTGCTATCCTGCCACCGTACATGCAGGTGTTACGTCCTCTTAACGAAACATGACAATTTGGTTATTCCTATATTTATGAATGCAATTAAATATCAAGTTTCTGGTTTTATACCCATTTCTTTGAAATGTATTTTCCCAACTATTACTTATTTGTAAACCTGGTTTGTTCAAGCTACTTGCCTGTTTCAAGGTCTCCTCAAGTTTATTATTTCTCAACCTCTTTATATTATATATTATTTTATTTGTAATGTGGTCCGAAACACGCAAACCAGCCCACGCCCTTTCATGATAATTATCTACAGAGCAGTTTCTACTATTGTTATTATTATTAGCTATTACGTTGGACCCAGGGTACTACACTGGGTAGTGGGTACGACAATATCCAACTAGGTATACGTATATGGTTTCCACTAAAAAAATCTATAAAACGCAAACCATTTACAATAATTTTAAAAAAGCGAAATTGGTTTAAAAAAAAAATTGCACTAGTGAGTGTGGCAACTATTGCGAATCAAAAAATCATTCGAAATTTGTCGGTTTTAAATCATTACATTTTATGACGAAAATATAAATAATATATTATTATTTCAACTGACGGAAATTTACTTAGTTTTCTGTATCGTCTAACGGCCTTTTCCCCTCCACAATTGGTCATGCGTAAACAGATTTTGGACAGCGAAAAGATTCGGCGGCGCGTGCGCCTGAGCAACTACCATTCGACCTCAAAGGTCAGTACGTTCATGGTCACGAAGCCGATGTGCATGGACGAGGGTTGGAACCGAGTGGGCCTGAAACTGGCCGAGATCGTGAGCGACGCGTTCAAGACGACCTACGTGGAGACGGTCCGCATCCAAGTGCACGCTAACTGTCGGCTGAGAAGGATATATTTCAGTAGCCAAGAGTACAAGGAGGATGAGCTGCCCAATGCGTACAGGATGCACAGGACCGCAGTGGTGCGGGAAAAACCGAAGAGATTGCCGAAGAAAATTCCAGGACCCGTTGACAAAAAGTCGACGGCTGTCGTAGACCAGACTAAAACCTGACATTATCATATCATACGAATAATACCGACTGCGTATGTCCGTCTGATATCTACACAGATGTAGTGAATCTAAATTATTAGGTAGATACCTACCTACTGCCATTGTGTTTTAACCGAAAAATTGAAATTTCATTATGACATAAATAAATAAATAAACAATAATATAAAATTATAATGTTTACCTCCTACTGCAACGTATTTTATATTTAAAGTGTATCAGTAATTCGATGGTGACAATGCAAAAGGGCATAAGCGACATTTTTGAAATTATTCAGGAGAGCCAAAAAACTTTTTTTTAACAATTATTACATTTTGTAGGTTATATTTTTAATTTAGAAAAATATGATAAGAATAAAAAAGATGAGTTGTACTCTATTTAAGACACTTGTTCTTTCATTTTTTTAGTTAAACACTTACATCAGTAAGAATTGAGTATTATTATATAATTTGGCGCTTATGCCCCATTATTTTCCTTACCTGTAATTTTAGTTCTAGTATTTTGGTGCTTATGCCCTATTAATTTTCTTCCCTGTATATTAATAGAAAATGAACAAATTTTTGAATTTTAAAATTTTAATTATTCTAGAATATTGCAGTCTTACAAAATCATATAAAATTAAATAAACTTATTTTTGAATTTTAACATTTTAATTATTCCAGAATATTGCAGAGTTTTATAAAATCATATAAAATCAGTTAAAAATTAAAAATAAAACAAAAACATGACTCGAATTTAGTTAAATATTACGTATAAATAATCATATAATTAATTATAAATATTATACATTTATAATAATATTATTATTATGTAAAATAGAAATAACATGAACAATACTGTAACATTTTAAAAACATAGTTTCATCTCATATAGTGTTTTTTGCAAAAATAATAATTATTATCAAAAAACAAAGAGTCTATCATAATTCATTATTATTGATAATAATAATATTATAATATTTATAATCATTAATTATAAATAATGAAATTTTATTTTTTAATAGAAACGTAAATAAATATTCTCTTTGGAATAAAATAATAATGTTAATATAGCTTCATACGATATTGCATTTTTTTTAAGATTACGACGTATTATTTTTATTTTTATTTTTTTATTATTATTATTTATTGTCAACCGAACAGATAACAGGAAATAGTTTTTTATATAAAATCTATTATTAACTATAATAATGCTGTTGTCGCTTGGGCCCCATAAAGTAAAATCCTATGGCGCTTTTGCTATCATTTAAAACTAAATGTCGCTTATTCCCTATTTATTCACATACCTGTTAATTAATTTACTCTTTTTGGCGCTTATGTCTAAATCTAAATTTTCGTTTTATATCGTAAAAAATAATCGTATCGATAAATGAGTAAGAGCAATCGATAGAGAATGACGTCGCTTATGCCCTAATTACAAAAAAAGTAGATTTCGTAAAAAGTGTCGCTTATGCCCTTTTGCACTGTCACCATCGAATATGTTAACTTCTCTTCTGTATCATACCAGACCCGTTAATTTTTCATCGGTATCATCTTAAAAAATAACACTTCATCATATTAATATTAATGAACGTGATAATACGTTGATTTTATGAATACAATTAAAACTATTTAACTATTATTAATATAAACTATTATTTAAAAATTATCCTACTATTCAGTTGAATAATTAATTTCTATTTTCATGTCCCTAATACTAGATACTAACAATAATTACGAACCAATGACCTATTATGTCGTTTGCAACTAGAGATTTTTGATTTTAGTTATGACCCAATTTTTAAATTGAATATGTTAAAATTAGTTTAAATAATAGTATGTATTTGACATTAATACAACTAAATCTATAATACGTCCTAACATCTAGTGACTACCTACTGTATCTTTATAGCCATCTTTACACTCTTGCTGGTGTAAAACTATTAAAATATGTAAATATACCATGCCCACCAAAGTCCAAATTATATGTGAAAGGTAGGTAGTTGTAGGTATGCCCTCCGTTTTGGATATTGTAATTGACTTGGGTACAGCTGTTAATAATAACGAATTAAGTCACAGTTACCCAGATACCCCTGCAGATACCTAAGTCATGATAATAATAATATCTTTTATTTTTTCCAATTCCCTTATTCGATTTTATTATTAAATGTTCATACAACAAAAACAATGGCTTGACAACTTCTTGATATAAATTAATTATAATAAACCTTAAACAGAATATTCCATATTCACCACGTCGATGTATGAAAAACAAACACGAATTGCTTGTACAAATTAAGCAAGGTAGGTATATATTATGTACAGTAAAATGGTCCAACTTGATTAATTTTCAGTGTTCCTACTTTTTTATTGTTCGCCGGAGCCCGAGAAAATACGTGTGTCGACGGTGACGTTTGCGACGTGATTATCGTCACAAGCCCAATATTGTATGTGTCTGAAATAGAGATGGGAGGTCGGTAAATTTACCTGGTAAATTTTATCGGTAAGGTAAATTTACGTAAATTATACCGATAATTTTTTTACCATTTTAAAATTCGAGTGACCACTCATTTCAATTGTTTTCATATGCACAACAGTCAACAACTCTACAGTGTCTCCACAATGCATGATATAAATATAACTAGTTATATACCTACTTATATTTATATCATGCACATGAGATATTCCAGCAAATAATTATTAGCAAGACAATTTTTAACACCATCATCTCTGATTTACTTTAAATAATATTTTTAGTCCAATATAACTAATGTAATTTGGAGGTGCTAAGCACCCCCTGGCACCCCCGTTTTTGTGACAAGGCATACTCATAAATTATAATATATGTATATAAATATAATACTAATTGTAGTAAGGAGTGGACGAGCGGTATATTGGTTAGATGGTTAGCGTAGTTATAAAAATGTTATTGATTTCGTATTGAACTTACTAAATAAAAATATTATACAATATTAAAAAAATTCAGAACATTTAATTAAATTTACGTAAAATTTACAGAAAAAAAATTTACGGTAAAATGCCCATCTCTACCTACCTACTATAATTTAAAATCCGACAGTGCAACATAAGTTTAATCAATGTAACTAGTAATTGTGAGAATGTCAGTTAATTCAAACTAAAATTATTAAGATATTAAATATTATTAATTTTACATTACATATTATTCAATAATACATTTTCTCTATAATAGTATGATTAATGACATTCATAATATTACATATAATATCTAGTTTCGAAATTCAATGAATAAATAATTTAACATTCTTAAATAATATATAAAAATATACCTAATAAGTACAAACTCACTACAAGCGCCTTGAAAATATACCTAGGTATGTTATGTATTATCATGTTTTGTGAACGTATATTTATAACCAAAGTTTTAATCCCTCTGTAACACATTTTATACAACACAAATATTATAATATTATAATTTGAATATATATTATATAGATGGATAGGATACAAGTAGGTATTACTGATCACTTGGTAGTAAATGGTGAACAATGTCTAATTGTGCGTTTGAAATATTACAAATATTTCACTAAGCCATATTATACATTATTTTATATTATTATGAAATAAGTAGGTTGTAGGTAGGTAGACATCTGACTACTGACAATAATTGTGTGTCTATTCGTCTAGCATGTCCAAGGCTTCAAAAATGCAATCAACTATGTAGCCAAAGGAGTGGAAAAGGTTTATGATGGTTTCGTGCGCAAAACTATGTTTTATTTTTATTTTAGAAACTTTTCGATGTGTTTTATATATTATACGAAGGTACATTGCCCACATTATATAGGTAACAAAACAACTAATTCAGATTTATATTTTCGTGCATAACGCAATTGTTTAATTGTCAAAACGTGTAGTAGTAAAATATAATTATTTAATATTTTAATGTTTGATTAAACTGCAGTAGAGGTCATGGTATCTCCATTAAATTCAAACCATAGAATTGAATAGGTACCACGCTATATTAGGTATGGACCATACCGTATGGTATGGATAATGATGAATGCAGATCTATAGTTGATTATGGTAATCTCAACTCATATCAAAGACAACAATCAAAGTGTAACTTATTAAAGTTTAAAATAGTTTTTTTTAATTTAACCAATGCCTAGGTACTCTAAAATATTGAACTCTTAATTATCCCTGTACACACTCCAGCCCACTAATTTCATATCAATATTCTATTATAATTTAGTAATTTACAATACATTCTGAGCAACCCTCCTAGCTTTCTTAAAAGGCGCTAGTGTAAGGATTTTCTTGATCTTTTCCTAAAATACACTTTAAAATACCCTCAAATTAGGGTCTTATCCCTGAGATTTATGTTTGTATTTCCCCTGATTTACTAAATTTACTTATAATAGGTACCTACTTATGAAGAACAGAACATATTTAAATGTTATTTTTTTATTAAAAAAAAAAAGGTTTTAGATACTTAGGTATACATAAACCATTAAGAAATACCATTTGTATAAACTGATTCATTGTACCTATAAACTTATAGTTAAACATAAGAAAAAAATCATATGACCAAATATGTGGTTTACTCATATGACAGATGTTTGTTTCAGACTTAATTTAGACTTAAGATTTTAGAAGATAACGAAAATATGATAAAATTTTTTTAGGTATTTTTCTCTTGAATTACAGGTGAGGTTTTCAGCTCACCATTTGTCCAGTGTCATTAAAATACATTTATGTTATAAAATATGATTTTAGGGAATTTTTCCGGACGGAGGGTAATGGTAACTTAAACTGATTTATTTTCGTTGATTTTTAACCACCTGTTACTAGAACCTATGATGTCTTACAGATATTGTGCTACAGAAAATGGTGTATTAAATATTAATATCCATATTCATTCATAGTATATCTGTGTCGTCAGAAAAGGTAGCTAAGATAAAGTTGTTAGTACCTATTCTAGGAATATCAGAAGTAAAAAATGAGGGTACTTAAAAACAATAAAAAGTAATAAATATTTGGTCGGAA